TGTAATAGTATCCAGACTCATGATTGACAGACCATCAACACCCTCAGTACTCCCAAATTTATGTTTCCGTAGAGATACTCTCCCTTGAATTTTAAAAGTGTATATTCAACCGCCTACATGACATTCCCTCGTAAATGCCTAATGCGCAATTGAAACTCAACATTTTGAAAAACAAAATTCTGATATTAATCCACAAATAAGATAAGCACACAATTTTTCCTATCATTGATGACAAGTCTAATTTTTCCAGTGCTGAGCAGTTTTCTCTCTAAGTTCTACCATGATTACCTTCTTTCTCCTATAACCTGTGTCTGGTCTTCCAGAACACCTTGTTGCCTGCGCCATCAAAATATATCTATAATCCATCCAAATCTTATCATTCCTATATTTACCACCTTGACTAAAGCCACTGGAAATTTAGTATTATTCAAAAGTCACTTTCCTAGGGCTACCCTATGTCTGTCTTTGTAGTTAGGAGGATGTTGCTATAATCTGTCTGACATAACCTCTTTGAGATCATCTTTAATATTTTTCCCATCTCTTATCAGTTTCAGCGCTGTTGGTCTCCCTATGCTCTGATAATTCATTTAGTTATTTTTCTGTTTCAGGATTATTTTAGTGTTACCTGTTATATTTTGTTTTGCAGATTTTATTTGAATGAGAAAGTTTTTCCATCTCTCTCTACCAATGTGCTCACTCTTCCTTGTGAACCAATTTCATAACTATGCTTACCAATCACCAGTTCTCTAGATCTGAATTCAGTTTACTCACTCATTCTTCTCAGTGACATGGAGAATATCACAAAACCAGTTATAAAGTCAACTGATGGATTAGTTCAGTTCTTCCTTGGAGATTTTTAATTTTGAGTATTCCATGTCCACAGCCATGGACCCCATCATGTCCATAACTCAACATTAACCAACTTTTCTCAAATAAAGAAGTTCCACTTTTGCCCTTGGCTTCAAGCACCTAACTTTTTATAGGACATTCAATCCTCATTAACTGAAAGAATCAGTATCTTCTCACCTATGGACATAAATCCATAGAGCCCCTTGGCTCCAGTCCACCTACCACTTCATGTTTCAGGTTTTTCGTGGTGTGTGAAAAACTTTATCCTTTTTTAATCTCAGCAATGACTTTGTGTATTTTACTTATTTCTTATGTGTTTGAAGTTAATGATTTTAAAATTGTGAACAGTGACATTACTATGGTATCCTGTCATAAGATTTCTTTTAAACTATATCCCTGGAAAATATAGATCAAGAAAGTTCATCCAGAAAAATAAAAAATGTAAAATAAATTCATGTACAAATGAAAAAACTGAAGACCTTAAAGAAAAATGATTTTAAGTGAATATTAACATGGAACATCATCACCCACATTCAATTACGGACGAAATCTCAAGAGATCTACTAGATAATAGACAAAATTGCACAATCTGCCCCTTAGTGACTTTGTATTTTATCATAACACAAAATGAAGAATCATAATGCAACCCAAAGTCTGCCAATGTGAATAAAAATGTACATTGCATCTACTGTGTGAATGGGGAAAGTGGTTATGAAAGTCTAAAAGAGGAGTATGCAGTCTGTCTATGCTGATCATAAGCACAATTCATAACAGAGATATTTCAGGATCTTCTGTGTAAAATATAGAGAACAGAAATTGTGGTACAGGAAACATTCAGTGACTCTAAAAATGAAATTTCTCTAATTATTTGAACTTTACTATATTTTAGTTATATTCAGTAATATATTTTTATATCCATTACATGAACTATATTTTCACACTAAAAATTGGAATCAGGCTCCAAGATATCATTAATTACATAGAGATGCTTCTGTTCGCAACTTCAAAAAGAGAAGTCTGGAACTTATTAACAAAGGAGTGTGTGTGCATATTCACACGGTATGTGAAATTGAGGTGAACCTGAATAGATGGAGAGAACTGGATGATGTATACCAGGCCTAACAAGATCAGGGATTAGCCATCAGAATTTCTCTCTTCTACAGTCTTGGGTCTTTAAGGATTTGCGGTGCCCAGGGATCAGAATGACACAAAAAATACTTGTTTAATGAGGAGCTTTGGATATTAAACCCTCAGGGATATAGAGACTGTGAGGAGTCAGCCTGTGACAACCTCATTCAACAGCCTTTGTTGTTCAGGAAGAAGTACACCTGAGGGTCCACCCAGGGATGATCTTTCTTGTCCAGGAGTCCATTGTGTCACTTTGTCTCTCTGCCCTTCCTGAAGACATATATTCTGTCTTCAATATCCAGGTGACATGTCAAGTATCATTCCACAGGGATGCCAGTCAGGTAACCTAAAGTCCCTTAGTTAATGCTTTGCCAATGAGGGCAGCAGTTTTACCAAAAATTCATTTATGTGAAGAAATGAAGAGTGTACTTGAATGAAATGAGGAGAACCAGGTGTCCCATGGGACTGCAGCCTAACTCATCTTTTTGACATTTTCCCACGTATGTTTGTATCAATACTCAGCCAATGTTCTATCCGCTGGTCTCCTACTTTCTCTGAAAATTAACAGAACCTGAGCAGAAATCTGCCCCTTCTCAAACATGTTGACTGTTATGAATGTTTCTGACATTTACTTGAATTCTTGTGTGGTCATGGGGAAGGGGTTTGGTCAGTTTTTCCTTTCATTTCCATTCATTGTTATTATTATATGATTCTGCAGAAGATTGTTTTTATTATCCCTATAACTGGGCTGGAAGGACTCTGGGGAGAATGTGGAGACAGGGAGAGACTCAGCCAGCTGCATGGCACCTATTTCTTTTTACAAAATTACAATGTATTTTATATAAGAACAATAAAGGTAGTATAATAAAAATACAACCATGCTTCAACTCATTCCAGAATTAACATATGTTGACATTCTGCAATATCAACTTCAGATCATTTTAACAAAGTAACAAAATAATACGCAGACAGAAGTCACCTCTTTGTATCTCCTCAGTACTTGTTCTCCCCATCCTTGAAACAACCTCACCTAGAATATGATCATATCCCCCATGCATGGCTTTATGTGTATTCATATACATCTATAGGATGAAAGGCACTGACCATAACACCTATCAGTTTGGGAATGGTTAAATAAATAGTAATGTAATGGATGGACATTGGGGGTATAATGCAAAGTGAAATAAGTCAGAGGGAGAAGGCCAAATACCGTATGATTTCCTTCATTAAGTAGTAGATAATAACAACAATAAACAAACACATAGGGACAGAGATTGGATTGGTGGTTACCAGAGGGGAAGGGGGGAGGGGGGAGGGTGAAAGGGATAATTCGGTACATGTGTGTGGTGATGGGTTGTAATTAGTATTTTGGTGGTGAACATGATGTAGTCCATGCAGAAATAGAAGTACAATGATGTACACCTGAAATTTTTGCAATGTTATAAACCAATATTACTGCAATAAAAAAAAAAATAGTGATGTAACAATATAGTGGAATACTCTCTGCTAATTAAAATTAATGAAGTGGGACTAAATACATCCATATTAATAAAAAATAAATACCAAAGATGTCAACTGTAAATAACATTTACAGTACATTTTGGTTTATATAAAGCTTTCACAATGCAAAACCATGCAATTGTTTATGGAACATTAATACTGATTATAGTGAAAGTTGAAGGGGAATAACGTGTATGAAGTTTCGGGTTCCTCTGGGGAAGGAAAAGAATCAAGATTGTGCAAATACATGATGTGGGAAATTCACTTATAGCTGTATTTTTTTATTGCAGTGAAGATACACACAACGAAAATAGTGAAATGTATGAATTCAGTAAATTTGACTGATGGGTACCAAGCTCTTCATTGTTTCTGTACTTTTCTTTCACTTGAATTTCACTTGAAATCTATGTAGGATAAGTAAAAATAATACCTAATAAAATAAATATACACTTATCTATGTAGGATTAAAAAATATTTTAAATTTTCTCCTTCTGTAGGCTTTTTGTTATGCCAGCTTTTTCTCCTGTATGTTTTCATTATTTGTGGTGATTAATGTATCCAATTCTTTTTATTATTTAATTAATTTAATTGCTATATATTTCATCATACGTCCAGGACAAATGAATATTGATATCATTAATATTTCCTTCATTCCTTTTATACAGGGTAAAGGTATCCAGCTGGAGTTTTCACTGAGAAACTCTATCCTGAATTTTGCAGTTATTGTCTAGGGATGTTCTCTTTTTCAATTTTCCTTCCTCAAATTGCCCCTCAAACAATTATTTCTTTCTGAAGAGTGAACGTGCCAGGAGCTGTCGTTCATGGCAGGAAAAAAAAAACACAATAAGAAATGTCAGTATTAGGGTCCCAGATGCTGAGTACTGTGCTGGATGCTTTTCCTCCATTCATTTTTCATCATTGCAACATCCCCATATGTTTTTATGACAGTTCTCATTACACAAATGAGGACATCATGTTCTTTAAAGTTATGAACAAAAATTGTTCAAAAGAAACAGAACAATTTTCCTCCTTCACAAAGCAATTCCTGATCTGGATTAAATTCAGAAGGTTCGAGTCTAAATAATACATCAAATGATAAAGACTGTCATGGCCACTTCTTTTTCCTCTTTGAGAGGGAGGACCACCAATTTACAGAGACAATCCTAATACGACACTTGATTATCTTATAAGTACCATATAAGATTCTCTTATCTTATAAGTTTATGTCTTTCAAGGATCAAAATTTGAAGCTATTTTCATCTGTTTTCTTAGGAGCCTATGCATTTTATTCTTTCTCTCAGTTAGCTATTTTTTTAAAGTGATATGCCACCTAAAACCTTAGGGGAAAATATTACCCTTAGGATGAGAAAGACAATCTCATTGACATAGTTTTCCAGATTATCTTAGAACTATTGCTAATGCAATTGTGTCACATTTCCATGGGAGAGTCTCATGAGCTTTAAGGTGATAGGCAACATTTTCTAATTTTGCTCAGGTGAAGAGCGTATACTTGGATGGACGCCATGCACCTGCGACACAATACTTCCTGGGTAGATGTGGATGTATCATGTAAGGAAGTGAAAAGATTTGAGGCAGGATTGGGATGAAATAGTACCATTTTAAAGGTAAAATATGAAATCTGCGTGATGGTGTAGGAATGATAATTCTGTACTATCCAGAGACATTAAAAGAGGTTAGTCAAGAAAGTCAATTCAGCAGTCAGATGATCTGATGTCAGATCCAGTCTTTGCCATGAACTCACCTTGTACTTTGTGTTCGTGACATAATCTCAATTTACAAAGCTTTCCCTATGAATAAATGGAGTGATGGTAGGATCCAACTCATCTGTAATTTCACAAGCTCTTCAGATGATTCTGAGTCATGCCAAATTGGGGACCATACTCTACAAGAAATATTTACTACTTAATTCTGGTATTTCCTCCTGTTTGAAGGCAAGGAATTTTTCTGAAGGAAATATCATGTCTTTTTCTTTGTTTCATTCTCAGCACTTGGCACAAGGTGAGAAACAGAGTTGATGATCAATAAAAACAAGGCCCCATAAAGAGAGTGGAGGGAAGAGGAAGAGTGAGAGATGATGATGGAGGGAGAAATTAGCAAAGGGATACATTTGAATATTCTCTTGTGTTCACAATATAGAATGTTTTCCTTTATTTTGAGCACTGGATTTCAAATTTTAGCATATCCAAATTTATATGGAGGGCTTGTTAAAACTTAGATTGCTGATCCTCACGCAGGGTTTATCAGCAGTAAGTCTGTAGTGGTACCACCATTTCTTACAAGTTCAAAGTTGATGCTTCTGCTGCTTCTCCAGGACCATTCACTTTATTCTCTTTTCACCCCAGATTTTCCATAAGATTAATCAACAACATCGAATCCAGAAATCACACAGAAGATACAGAATTCTTTCTCCTGGGATTGACAGGTGATCCAGAACTGCAGTCCCTCATTTTCAGCCTGTTCCTGTCCATGTACCTCGTCACCATCCTAGGAAATCTCCTCATCATCCTGGCTGTCAGCTCTGACTCCCACCTCCACACCCCCATGTACTTCTTTCTCTCCAATCTGTCCTTTACTGACATCTGTATAAGCACAACCACAATCCCAAAGATGCTGCTGAACATACAAGCACAGAATCAAGGCATCACTTACACAGGCTGCCTCACCCAGATTGTCTTTGCCCTGGTTTTTGGAGTATTTGAGAATTTTGTCCTTGCAGCAATGGCCTACAACCGGTATGTGGCCATTTGTCATCCACTCATGTACATGGTCATCATGAACCCCCGACTCTGTGTCCTGCTAATTCTTCTCTCTCTGTCTCTTAGCATTGTGGATGCTTTGCTCCACAGTCTGATGGTGTTACGGCTATCCTTCTGCAAAGACCTGGAAATCCCTCACTTCTTCTGTGAACTTGCTCAGCTCCTCAAGCTTGCCTGTTCTGATACACTCATCAATAACATCATGGTATATTTTGGAACTAGTGTATTTGCTGGGATTCCTTTGTGTGGAATCATTTTCTCTTATACTAAGATAGTCTCCTCCATTTTGAAAATGCCATCAGTGGGAGGAAAGTATAAAGCTTTTTCCACCTGTGGGTTTCACCTCTCAGTTGTGTCCTTATTCTATGGGACAGGTTTGGGTGTGTACATTAGTTCTGCCCTCACTAACTCTTCCAGGAACACTGCCGTGGCTTCAGTGATGTACTTTGTTGTCCCTCAAATGCTGAACCCCTTCATCTATAGCCTGAGGAACAGGGACATGAAAGTAGCTTTCAGAAAACTCATCAGCAAGATACTATTGGCTTTTCAGGAGTCTATTGTCCAATTTCCACATATTTGAGTATTTTCTTATTGTCCTTCACTTATTTATTCTTAGTTTAGTAATATTATGGTCACAAAAGACACTTTGTATGATTTCAATCTTTTTAAATTTTTTGAAACTTCCTTTGTCACCTAATATATGATCTACCCTGGAGAATGTCTCGTGTGCCCCAGAAAAGAATGCATCTTGCTGTTGATATATGGAGTGTTTATATATGTCTGTTAGGTTTTATTTGCTTATACCATTTTTCAAGTACTAAGTGTCTTTTTGATTATCCGGAAGTACTATCTATCCTTGAAAGTTTTGTAGTGAAGCCTTTAAGTAGTATTGTAGAAATATGTATTTCTGACTTAACTTCCTTCGTGTTTGCCTCACGCATTTTGAGGTTCCATTGTTTTATGTATACATATTTATAATTCTTATATCATCTTATTTATTGACTCTTCTATATCATATCTACCTGTCTATCTATCTATCTATCTATCTATCTATCTATCTATCTATCTATCTCTCTGTCTAATCTTATATCTATACTTTTCTGTCAATTTTAACAATTTAGACAAAATATTTTTTGCTGATGTTAGCTCTTTTTTGGTAACGATTTGACTGGAGTATATTTCCTATCATTTCACTTAATCTGTTTGTATTTATGGATCTATTGTTAGACTTTTGTAAACATCATATATTCACATCATGTTTCTTCTATCTGTCTTCCAATCTCTGTCTTTTGGAGACGTTGATCCATTTACCTTTAAAGTACTTCATGATAAGGAGATACTTAATTATCCCATTCAAATATTTATTTTCTATATGTCTAATACCTTTCTTTTATTCTTCATTTCTGCCATTACTGCCTTATATTTTGTCTAGTTGGTTGTTTGCTGTGAATATTTTGGATTTTTTCCTCATTGTCTGTTGTGAATATATCTGGATAATTTTCTTTGCGGTTGCCATTGGTGTTAAATTTAACAATCTAGTTTGAATTAGTACTACACTAACTTCCATAGCATGCACAACCTCTGCTTTTATGTGGCTGTGTCCATTTCTCTTTATATTGTTACTCTCAAATTAAATCTTCATACATGGTTGCCAATAGCATAGATTTAAAAAAATTTATATTTGATTTTTAAAAATCCAGTAGAAAATAAAAAGCAGATTTGTAAATCAAAAATAAAATAATGGCTCTTTTATTTGGCTACATGTTTCTCGTTACCAGAAATCTTTATATTTTCATGCAGCATTGAATTACTATATAGCATCTTTTCATTTCAACCAGATGGAATCCTTTAGATATTTTCATAGAGCAGGCTTTTAATGAACTCCTTCAGCTTGGTTAATCTGGGCATATTTTATTTCACCCTCATTTTTGTAAGGGAATTTTTGTCAGATATAAAATTCATGGTTGACAATTTTTTTTCTTGAAGCACTTTATGTCATCTCACTATCCTCTGACCTTTGTGGTTCTGATGAGAAATTGGTTATTATTCTTATTGATGATTTCTTGTACGTGTTGAGTTGATTTTATCTTAAATTCTAGTATGTGATGAGCTCATTTCTAGATTCTCTTTTTCCCTTTGGATTTGTCAATTTGATGTTAATGTGTGCTAGTGTTAGTATCTTTGAGTTATCCTCCTTGGAGTTCATTGAGCTTCTTAATTTTGTAGGTTCATGGCTCTTACCATATTTAGGAAGTTTTTGACCTTATTCATTCAAATACTCTTTCCATCTCTTTATCTTTCTCTTCTCCTTCTGGGATTCCCATAATGCGGATTTTTTTCACTAGTTGGTGTCCTATAGATCCCTTATGTCTGCTTACTTTTCATCATTCTTTTTTTCCCCCTGTCCTTTAGATTCAATATTATAATGTGGTAACTTTGTATATCAGAATCTCCCCTATATTTTTTCTTTTTAAAAAAAGTTTTTGAAAGTGGTAGTGGTCTATTCGTTTAGCGACTTTCCCAAAATGTATTCACAAAGACTGTAATTCTTGTTGTATATTGTCATTGAAATCAATGTTTGTTAGCTATTCAGCTAGCACTTTGGTAGATTTCCTTGAGTGGGAAGAGTGATGCAAACAAACAAAGAGCACACTTCTCTCAGTCTTTATAGATTGGATTTGTGCTGCATTACTCTTTCAGCACTTATCCAGGTTTTCACTAAGCCTAGAGATCAAAATGAAAGTTTAACTCTTCTCTGTTCTTTTCTTATTAAATATCTTGCCATGAGCATGCATGTGGATTTCTAAATTTTCCCGTACTTTTGGATGCTTTTAAATGTCTTAATTTCCTCAAGAGAAGATCCCTGTTTTTGCCTTGGGTCTTAACTTGTCTATTTTATGTTTCAATTTTTATCTTTTAACATAGGCACATGTTGGCTGTTAGTTTGGTTTGTGGTGTTTTTGAAAAATTCCCACTGCTTTTTCAGCCTGAATTTTGAGTTAGACAAAATGGAGAGGCATGCCTTTGTCAGTCCTTCAGGTAGCTCCCAGAAAGATTAGAACACTCTGATAATGATTTGAGAAATGATCTACTCTGCTTCCTCTCTTTCCGTGGATCTGGGTCTCATACTCAGAACACACTCTGTGACCATTTTAGGACTGAAACTACTGCCATGCCAGGGAAGGAGTGGGGCAAAAGCTAGTAAAAATGCCACAAAACATTTCTACCTGTTTAAAGTTTCTTTTTTCTTGAGTCAGTACTACTTGATTGCTGTAAATTTTGACTGCTTTCAGGAGTTCTGACGAATTTAATTCTGACTGATTTTCAATGTTTCTGCTTGATTTTCAATGTTTCTTTGAGAGAGAAAGATTTAAGGCTGCTCAATCTGCCTTTTTGCTGGCAGAATACCATGTATCTTTCCATGCACAGTCTATTTTGATTATAGGGAATATATTAGAAACTGCTGAATATACTATGCAGAAACAGAATACAATGAGCCAGATAGAGGGTCAGTTATTTTAATATGTTATTTTGGGTATATTTGCTATATTATCACTTGTATTTTATAAGAAAGATATATTTACCCGTATTAGAAACTACATTTTTGAGCCTGAATATCATTTCAGTCTTCCTTAGACTGTTGTTATAAAGGATACATTTGGATGTACCTTAGGAAAGAAGACTAGAATTCAATTACAGAAAGAAATTCTGTCCATGTATGAAAGACACTTGAAATGGATGTGAACAGAGATAGTTGGATGGAAGAGAAATATATACTTTTGGCCTACAAGAATGTTGGAATTTAAGTTCTTCTTTCTCTGAAATTTTAAAAATTTTCATCTCCCTGGTATCATAATGATAGCAAAAGAGTTTGACTAATGAGACACTATGGATATTGAACCCCAAGGGCCACAAAGACTACAAATAATCTGCCTGTGGTCACCTTACTCAAGAGCCTGGCTCAGGTCAGTAGGCAGCACACCTGAGCCTCTTCCCAGGGACCAGCACTTTTACACCATACTTCAGCACTTCACTCTGTGTTTCATGCTTCCTGAGTTTCCATTTATCTTCTTCAATATCAAAGGGAGAACTAAATGTCATTCCTTAGGGTTGGCACCCACATCATCTCAAGTTCCCTAATCTGTTTTTCAAATATGGAGAGATATTTGTCTACCCGTCCTTCTGGGGCTCAGTGGGAACATGTTGAAGATGACTTGATATTATTCATCTATCAAGTGTGTGACTAATTGTCCATTATCTGATGTGTTTACTTGTACCTTTGCAATGATACTAATCAATCTGCTCATTTTCTACTCTGACGCTAAATTTCTGGGGTCTTTTTCCATTCTCAGAGAAACCTTCCCTTGTACAATTTTGTGGAGTGTTCTATAATTTTCTTAAGTGTTCCTTAATTTCTGGGCAGATAATGAAGGTGGATGTTCATCTTTTATTTATGCTTCCATGTCTGGTTCTTTATATCCCTTTGTGGGGATAACTATTGGTCTTGACCCTCGTGCCTGTCTATGAGGACTCTGGCTGAAGAGGTGGAGAGCTAGGCAAACACAATACACTACATACATATAATCAAAATCTCTATAGTAATCAATGGAATATTTTAAAAGGCAGAATAACACAGAATATCAGGACAAATTTTCATGTATCTGTTCCAGAATTAATAAATTTGGACATTTGCCATATTATTTATCTTCTTAAAATAACAGAATAGTTTGTATGGAGACAGCATCCATTATTATTTTCCTCCATTTCTGTCTTCCATTCCCAAAGGCAACCATAGTCTTGAATTTGTTGAGTTCCTTGGTGTTGTTTTAATCTCCTTTTACACACACATATGTGTGTGTATATGTTTGCATGTGTGTGTATGTGTATCACAATGACAATACCCATTCCTTCAAGAGTAAGTAAATTGTGATGTTGTAAGACATGGTAATATGGCAAAGGAGTGGAAGTTGAACAAGAATGGAACGTACCAAGGCTTGCTTCCTACCTCTCTTCTATACATGGGCAAGATTTACAGGGGGAATGTCAGCACATGAATTCTTTCCTGAAACTTGCATTTACCACACCAGGATTATTCTTTCTTTATATCCTCTTCTTTCGTCTTGTCCCATCTTTACTTTTCTCCGTGTAATGAACCCTGCTGTTTTGTCCAGTCATGTTCATGCCTTAAACAAATCACCATAGGTGATATTAAGTAGGTCCCATACGTCAAGCACTGTGCTTGGTGATATTGTCTATTTATTTCTCATCCTTGTCATACACCCTATAAGATTTCATGACGGTTCTCATCATACCGATGTACGGACAGAGAATTCTAACATAGTTGTGAACACCTCCTTCTTCCTGAAGCACCTGCTGGAACCTGGAATGAACTCAGGTGTTTCTGATTCTAAACTTACACCAAATGATCAAATCTGATATAGTGATTCGTTTTCACAGTTCCATTCTTGGCTCAGATAATCTCATCATGGAAGCAGAGTTTTTATCTTGCCATTCATGTTTAAATATTAGAACCTAATGAGCTATTCACCTTTAAAACATCATTAGAGAAATTTTCCAACT